TGGCTTCTGGATATCCGGATATTAAAATTATACTATCTAGATCTTCTTTTCACAGATTCGAGATTTATTATCTTTATCCGGATCTGGATTTTCCAGATATCATAATTTTCAGAGCAGATCCGAACGGATACCGGATCGAATCTCGGATCTCGGATAATAAGTCATAATGGTAAAATCCTATTAGGTCATGATGGGAAGTGATTCCCTTAATTTTTAAACAAGTAATAGATCGATATATAAATTACATAAATAATAAATCTATAACAAATCTGTAAAGTGGTTATTACTATTATGGTTATGTGTTTATCATGATTTCTTCTGCTTTAAATATGGACATATGGTTAGAAAAAATGGTTAATCTGCTACATAACAAAAAAATAAATAGTAATTAGGAAAATGACAAAAAATTGGGATTCCATTGCAAAATAATAGGTGGTTTAGCTAAGACTTTTGTCATTTTCTTAATTACCCTTTAATTTTTTGCTATCCAACCCAATTTCTCTAGAAAAAAAGAAGAAGTTTTGCCGCTAATTAAAAAGATATTAACCTTTTTCATAATAAGTTTACATTAGAAGATTATATTTGCCACCTTTCATAACTAGGGTTTTGCTTTAGCAAACAAATCCAACTCAAAAAGATCAGATTCAGAACTTGAATCACTCTCACATCCACCATTTACATCATTCTCATCTCCTGCATTTCGATCTTTATACTCAACCTTCTTCTCTGAACAGAGACTCTCACAAAACCTTATGTTCAACTTCTGATCACTCCTCTTCGAATCATTCACGTCGAAGCTTCTCCTACGCGCGTTTAAACGCCAAGCGCCTGCACCGGTGATCGGAGAAGAAACTTCGTCGCGTGTGGTGGTCACCACGCAGCTTTTCCTCCTCCTCTTTTCTCCTCGTGGAGTCTCCACCTCCGTCGTTGACTTTGACTTCTTTGAACTCGCCGAGCGAAACAGAGACTTCAAGAAACTGGTTAGTTTCCCACCACCGCCACGTGTCACCACCTTCTCCTGCGGCTTTACGACGATGACGGCTCTTGGCTTCCGGAGCTGATCCTCTGTTTCAGGGTGTACTCTGTTCTGACGAGTTTCTGCAACAATGCTTTGTTTCTGAATATGGATTCTTGAGTACTCGATCGTTGTTGGTTCGTTGTTGAAGTCGGAGAAATATCGAGTGGCTTCGAAGACGTCAAGTTCGCCGGAGACATTCCTCTCGAGGTTTGGTTTTAGGATTCTCTCTTCCGTGATTGAAGAATTTTTGGCGATCTCCGACATTGTTTCTTGAGTTCCAAGATTTGAGATCGGTTTTTTGGGATTGTGGTTTAAGGAGAAAGAAGATGGTGCGTTGCTTTATATAGATTGCAAGGGCATTGGTTAACTCTACCGGTCTAAACCCGGTTCGTACTCCAGGAATTAACTACTATGACAACTTGTTGTTGAAAAAATGAAAAGATAGGTATAGATGCTTTTAGTACAATCAATAATAGGCTAATAGTGAATGTCACAATATTAGGCTATAAAAGATTAGATAAGGGTTG